AAGTGTATGTATTAACTATCTATACAATCAACAACAAAATGCAATTAATCATTTTCATCTGCTCAGAGTTGCACAGTAATTTAATGTTCATGACTTGTTCTGGAGATGATTCTAATGTGTTTTAATGCTGAACCGTATCAAACAGCCGATGCCTTAGATACAGTCAGCGTCACATGTTAGACCACAAGGTTTCCTGCAGAATATGTTTAAAACTGCTCTGTGTTAACATACAAAGCTGTAAAATTGACTATAATAAACCTTATAATTATAGTCAATTTTACAGTTTTGTATGTATAATACTTAAATAGTATAGCAAAACTAGTATGGTATAAATATAGTATAGCAGTACATAGTACTATAATATTACTAGTAAATGTCAATGTATGTTATATAGCATAGTATAATAATAATGTATGTTCATGAAGCAAAACAGTGACACCACACACAAATATGAAATCTTTGTTCACATATATTTTATAACATTTTGAAGTACATTAAGTACATTTTAGAAATAGAAGCTACAGTTTATAAAACCTTTCCAGCAGAAATCATTGATGGGCCAGCATCAGCCTTTTTTCTCTAGCAGACAGGTCTATTTTCTGTATAAAAAAGAATAAAAAACAAAAACAAAACAAAAATTCGCTACATTGTTTTGTCCTGCGCTACCTTTAAATTCCCATGAAAGCACCAGCTGTCTGCATCTCTTGTCTTTTATAAAATATAAATTATTGAAAAATATTCAAATGTTTGTGAACTAAATACAATAAAAATGATCTCATAACAAAAATACAGAGACACTATAAAATATACAAAAAAAAAAAAAACATCCAAAACAAAAAAGGTTTTCCTTCTGAATCCATTCGATATGCATATGCCACAAACTACTGGTGTGTCTACATTTGCCTCACTAAGGTTCATTAATACATAAGACCTGCAGTAGATTGTATTCTGTGACATTTAACGATAATATATTTCCTGACAAAATAATTTTCAAAATATTAACATTTTAGGTAACAGGTTTTCTTTTAGCACGTTAATCTTATGAAGCCAACCATACTAATATTATGGCCTTGTGTTGGGAAAAAAAAAAGAAAACTTTTTTCCAGGGCACTAACAACCATTACAATTATGTTTAAAACTCAGCAAAGCTCTTTAACATAAAACACTGACATGAGAGAAAGAACCTGAACAAAACAAAAAAGAAAACAGGGTTTTGAAACCTTGACATCTACATGCAGAACAGAATGAAAGTACACTGCAGCTTATTACGAATTAATTTGTTGAGTTTTTTGTTCCTGATGACGATCATGGGTGAGGCTTTGTGAGTCAGTGCTTGATGATGGCAGATAAGCTTTTGTTACCAATTAAACAGTATGAACATATACAGCATCTCTTTCTACACTCAGTGGGAAACCCAGATCAGTGAAGGCGCTTCTCGTTGTCCTACAGCTGTGTGCTTTCCAACATATTAACAAGAGATAAAAGAAAAGTCAACACTTTCCAAAAATGTGAGAGAATTCTGGTCCCTGTCCTCCAACATTGTGGACGATACCCGAAGCACCGTGGCCAAAGACCTCACATGGGTTTTGGTTATTATTCCTGCTTTGTCTCTTGCTTATTTGTGTAATCTGGGTCTCAATAAAGCATTATGAAATACAATCTGTACAAATAGACATCTCAAAAGCTATTTTCATCTATATGGGTAACATTCAGCCACTGTAAACAATAACATTGTATTCTAAGATGATATTCCACTTTGGCATTTCCCATAAGGCCAGTGTACAGCCACTGTTCCCACTGTTGGGAGGAAACTGCTGCCAATTTGCTCAGTGAATCTCTATGCATGTCTTCTGAGCAAACTGCACAAATACGAGTGGAATCATATATGAGTTACTCACTATTGCTCATAGACAAGTAACACACAAACCCAAAAATAAAATACAAACCACGATGGCAGTGGGAAAACTCAGTACACAACCCATTTAATGCAATCCTCCAAGCGGTGCCAACTTGCATCACTTCTGTCAGACCTCACAAGTGATCACATGCAGGAACCACAGATTCCTTTTAGTCACCTTCATCGATCCAATACAACTCCCATTCCTCCCAAGTCAATATTTTTATATTGCCTGTCCCCTCTTCCTACACTGTACCTTCAACACTACACTGCAGCCGCCTTCTTTTGACCAAAATGTATGGAACGAAAGAAAGAAAAAAAATCTAACATTCTTAGGATTTTGTAAAATCACTCCCTCAACAGTTTCACTTGTGATTTTATTGTACAGACAGACAGACAAGACTATTCAAACAATTCTAAGCAACACCAACATGGACAGTGAACTGACAAATTATGCATCTAATCTGCACATTAAAACAACTCTTCTTACCACAGACTCCTGAATTTCCCCACATAAGATTGTCTACAGTTTGCTAATACTGGTGGTACTGTATATGCAAAAATGCATAAGTTTCAGTCACAATATGCGTCTCTAACAAGGTGGCAAACATATACGTAAAGGTGAAAGCGTCAGTTTCAAAAGCAACGGCTACTTTCAGTTGTCTGTCTATCACTCTTGGGATGAGTAATCTCACCAGGTCCTCATACCCTTCAAAGCACAGGGCCAGTGTCTATAGTGTTGTCTGATAACGAATCAGCACATTTCAGTTAAAGGCTCCTAGAGAACTGAACAGTTGAACTTGGCATCTAATGTTTGGTTCCACTGTAATACCTTCATTGACAACATAAGAAAAATACTTTTTCCAATATATGCCTGGTAGGTTTACATTGGGTGTTCTCAACATCAATAATATAATACTGGCACAAGCATATGCTCCTCAAACAACAAATTAGAATCAACACTTTTTGGTCCAAGCTGAAAACTCTTTGCCTAAGAGAAACAGTGAGCATGTATGTAAATATGACATTATACTCCTAGTTCGATTTTTACATTTTGGCAGCCGTTTTTTTTTTTTTTTTCTTAGCGGGAACTTTCTGCCCGCTCTGTTTACCCCAACAATGAAATGAATCATTTTTATTTTGCTCTTTTTCTCGGTTCTCTTAGACTTTCTGTCTTGGTCCTCTCATCTTCCCGCTGTGCTACTTAGGCAAAACAGAACCTGAACTCTACCCGATAGCGCTCCATCTGCCTTGAGCTGCTAAATAATACCAGTACATATCACACATACGCACGCTCACACTCACACGCGCACACACATCTCAAATGCAACAGGGTATGAAAACAGGCTTTTGGCTTGTGCCTTCTTTTTAAAACACGGTCTGTGAGACAGGAGCTTAAAGTTGACAAAGACCACAATTAGTCATTAAAAACATTTTGGTCCCCAAAAAAACGGTTTACCGACTCTATCAAACAGTTAAGACCACTTTATGAGCCACAGTCCACGTGGCTCCTTAACTTTTGTCTTCACATCCTTTTTCTTCCTTGCTTTCACTCGTCCGTATCGGGCTTTACGTCCAACATTGCATGGAGCTCCTCAGGAGTGTACCCCAGCAGGCTTTTTAAGTCACAGACAAAACGGTAGACGTAACGTTTCCCTGATGTCTTGTGGATGATATTCTTGTCATAGTAGTAGCGTAGGCCACGGCTCAGCTTCTCATAGTTCATCTTGGGCTTGTTTTTCCTCTTTCCCCACCTCCGAGCGACCTAAAACAACGCAGGGAACAAAGCATGTCAGGATAATTCATGAAGTTAAAAAACAATAGACAACAGAGTTAACCCTTCCAAAAAGATTGATGGAACAAGGCATGCAAATGTTCTTTAACAAAGTCAGAAGACATCTTGTTCATCTGGCTAACTACTTAGGACCTCCCAGCACGTGTACCAGTGACCTGCAGGGTCACAACCTCTCACCTCATCTGGGTCAGAAAGCTTGAACTCCCAGCCGTCGCCTGTCCAGCTGATGAAGGACTGGCAAGACTTGTCGGTCAGCAGCTCCAGAAGAAACTGCCACAGCTGGATGGGGCCGCTGCCTGCAGAACACATGGGAGAGGGAGAGAAGGTGTGTTATTTACACTTAGAAGACACATTTGTGTTCATGTAGACATTGGTTGGTATGTGTGTGTGAGCTCGAGGCAAAATTGTGTAGTGTTATTAATACTTCAATGCTCCATACTGTATATATTACTGCATCTATGGTATCTTGATTCTAAATGAAACCCAAGAGTGGTAAAACCAATTTGGGGGAAGATTCTGTCAATGTACTGCAAGCATAAGAATAGACTGAAAATCCTTGAAAAAGTGAAAGTAGTTGTGTACAGTCCCGGCCAATAGGAGGAATATTTAGCTTTATATGAAAGTGTTAAATATTTGTGGCAATTATTCAATTATGTCTGAGGAGGGACAAAGTAAACCTTCTAATCTGGGTCAGACTGAAGTGCAGCAGTGGAACCAAATGTCCTCCTAAATACAACAGTCCCATTCATCATGTATTCCCCTTGTCTGCCAGTTGCCCTGTGCAGTATGTGAATCTAGAGTCTGTATGAGTTCCATACTGGTGAAATCACTAGTATAAAATAAGAGGGGCTGCCTTAAGGCTTCAGCAACACATCTTAGGGACTTGAATACAGACTGTATGTGTGTGAGAGAGAGAAGAGAGAGAGAGATGTGGAAGACGACCGGAGCAGAGAAGACGAAGAGATCAGAGATTGACAGAGAGAGAGAGGACGAGAAGAGCGAGAGATGAAGAGAGGAGGGTGCTTAAGATATCTGTAATGTTATAGTAGCTTGTGTTTTTTCATGAATAAAGAGGAATATAATAACCTGTTAAAACTGAACTCCAGCGCTATTACAACTTATTACGTCTCATGGAAAAAAGGAGGGAAAGCAGAACAAAGACAATCAAAAAACTCTGTCTCTGAACTAGATTCACTGCAGTACACTTTGATCTTGTGGTTTTTCAGCATATACACAAACCCACCCACTTTTGAGGCTCGCATGTAGAAATCACACCTGCCTATGCAGCACACCGCCTCAGCAAAACTGAAGCTAAGCAAAAGTCACCTCTCTCGAGTGCCTCAGAAACCAAACGTACCCTTATACAACACAAACAAAAGCTTTCAGGGAAACAGATGTGTGGGTTGAACACTTAAAATGGTGCTACAAGGCCTCTTTACTCCTCCTTAGGATTGGAGAAGGTGCATGACAACAGCCACCCCAACTTTGGAAAATAAGTGGCTGCTCAACACTGGGGCTCTTTCAGACAGACAGCTTTGACTCGCATGCCAAAAGTCTGCTACTGTAACAGCGAGCCCACATAAGGGTGATACAGTGCCCGTTTACCAGCCCCCTGTGCTCTCACGCCAGAATGTAGGCGACCCTTTGACAAAAAAAAAAAAAAAAGTTTCCAAAAATATGTTACAAGTCTCCATGCACAATGGGCCTCATTGAAAAAGCACACAGTGTGGCAAAAGGGTGGGGGCTCCCATTTACAGCAGTGTTAAGTCTCTAACCCATGGCACGCTAAATGACTCTTAAGCATATGCAGCTATAGTAAGAAAGTTAGGCTGCAGCTAAAGATTATTTTTAGATATTTTTTTATGAATGTCAAATAGTAATGACAAAAGGTTCCAATAATGATTCTCATGTTTGAAAAGATGGAAGCAGCAAATACATAATGTTTTCACTTGATAAAGATTGAAAGTTCACCAAGTTTTAAGACTGAAGACAGAGGTGTAAATGGCAAATTTTCACAGGAAACCACAGAGATGACAACTGGAGCTTCACTTATCTCTCTGCAGCCTTATCAGGCTCCCCGTCCTCGCTACAAGTGTCACCTGTCACCCTGTGACTGGGACAGGAAGCCGAGCAGAGCAAGCTGTCATAAACATCGATTTGAAATTATATAAAAACCTGTCTCTTTAGCTTGAGGTTTGATTTTTGGTTTTTTTTGGCTGAGGTTTCTCTCACTCTTGTTATTTCTTCATCCACCTACGCACGACACACACACACACACACACACACACACACGTTACACTCAAAACACTCTCCTCATGCTGCTCCTAATAACAGCTAGGGCCAGAGTAGCCTGCTTGACATTTTTCTCTTTCAGGAAAATTGGGGTATTTCAGCCTGAGCCCCCCCCCCCAATCTTGCCCTTTTCCCATTGCTTAAAAAGCACAGAGGAAGTAGATTCTCCTCAGTGAGAATGCATTACTACTATGCATTAGGCATGAAACACTCGCCAGGCTTTCACACATGAGCTCTTCAGAGTCATCTACCCTGCCACAACAACTGATACGTGTTAAGAGTTTAAGATCAAAGCCGTATATGGAGTCAGAATGTTGGGAAGATATTTCCACATGCTTCGGTTTACATTTTTATATAAAACTATTTTTTTTGTCAAAGCAAATTTCATAAAGTTTCAAAATGTCTATCTGGTTGGTCTGACTATATCAGCTTATATATCATATTTATTATTATTTGTTTATTTTGATATTTTTGGTTCAGTCCACTTCACAGAATGCGAGCGGGGAGAAACACAGCCTCTAATGGTCACTAGAGGGGCTTTCAGACTGTGTCTCGCTCTTCATTATTTGATTACATGTACATTACGACATCTTTCCAACGTCGTTACCAATGAATGACTCATTGTTCCATAAGCGGCTTTTGAACTAATAACCATATAGATGACCAATTAACTCGTGCATACCGACTTTGGGACAGTCTGTTGATATCTGATGTGTGCATTGTTAATGACGTTGAGAAATTTGCTCGGATTTCCCCTTCTCCAATGCTGGCAATCTTGCAGCCTTGTGACTATAATTTAAATGCGGCTAAAAAAGCCCCAAACGCTGTGTCGTTAAGAGGAAATCTAGTGTCTACACTGCAACTGTTCAACGCTTCTTACTATCCAATTCTTAAACAGCATAGTATGTATATCATACAGACTTAACTTGAACTAAACCCTCTACTCATGACTACAAAGGTTTGACATATTTTCTTATGCAACGCATCATTTGGAAAGTAGCATTTGAATGTGTTAATACAACATTTAACATTGAGAGGCAGTTCACACCATATAAGAAAAGTTATTTTTATAATTTCCCCATGTTCCTAGTTTCATATAATTATAGAAGTAGCAGTGTTAGCATACACATCCTGGTAAACTGTTAAAAGTGGTAGCAGTGGTAGTTTTTTCATGCACCTTTTTTAGGTGATGGGTGCTAAAATAGAGCATTTGCTTTAGAAGAGTTTTGCAGATATCTCCACATCTTATTGAACTCGGAGAACATACATAAACCAGGTCTTTGAGCATATACGAGTATGAAGATGCCTCGCGAGATGAAGAGATAATTTTACTCTAGAGTTATATGCAGGGGCAGGCATAATTTCTGTATTTCACCAGCGTTGCTAGGACGACCTGGAAAAAATAGGTTGAGATGCGGGCTGCAGATAACAAGGAGGTAGATGAGAAGTGAAGACAGAACAAAAGAATGCGAGAGAGAGAGAGAGAGAGA